CAATCTGAAGAAGCAGAAAAGTAGAACCCTTTTTGGTCATGTTTAAAGAACCATAAAAATGTTGATGTGTTCAAATGGTAATTTGAGTTGTTATGGTTTTATATATAATGACTGCCTTCACTAAAGAACCCTTGAAGAACCATTTTTTTTTTTTAAATGCAGGAATTATTCAGTATCTACCTTGAATTAATCATTGAATATTATGAAAAATTCTGTAACTACTTTGAATGATTTCGTATATACTATGAATTATTCAGTAATTACTGTGAATTATTCATTATCTACTATAGACTATTCAGGTCCACCATGAATTATTCATTAACTACTAAGAATTATTTATTGAATTATGATTAATTATTGAATATATGGTATGGATTATTCATAAATATTAAAATTATACAGTAACTCCTAAAATTAATCAAGAAGACTTGCCATGAACTATTTACTAATTACTGTGAATTATTTATATCTGCTATGAATTATTCAGTATCTACTATGAATCATCCAGTGTCTACTACAAATTGACCATATCTACCATTAATTATTCATTAAGTACCATAAATGATTTGTTAAATTATGAATTATTATTCAATATCTGCCCTGCGATGGACTGGTAACCTGTCCAGGGTGTATCCTGCCTTCCACCCAATGACTGCTGGGATAGGCTCCAGCTCCCCTCCTACCCAGAAAGATAAGCAGCTTAGAAGATGTGTGTGTGTGTGTGTGTGTGTGTGTGTGTGTGTGTGTGTGTGTGTGTGTTTGTGTGTTTGCGTGTGTGTGTGTGTGTGTGTATTCAATATGTGGCATGGATTATTCATGAACTACTAAAATTATTCAGTAACTACTAAAATTAATCAAGAAGAATTATAAATACTCAGTATCTGCTATGAATCATTCAGTAAGTGCTACAGTTTAATGGGTTGTAAATTTCTTAGGTACCTGAGAAAATGATCTGTTTATCTGGCCACTAACCATTAATTTGCTCTGAAAAACACCAGCATTAGAATCAAAACAAGCAACATTAATGCAAAAAGGGCTGATTTTATGCATGTAGGTGTTTTCAAAATCTCTCCTCAAGGAAGCCCAGTATTAATTGCAGTTACCATCTAGTACCTGATTTCTCTAATCAATACTTCATTAAATGGTGAAAGTGAACAAGGCTGTGTGGAGGAGAAACCTGTAGTCAAATTTTATTCTGCTTTCCAGCTCTACATTGAGAATTAAAATTGTTTGAACAAGCAGAAACACAGATATCATCCAGATAAATGGCTTTAAACAATTTACTTAGGAGACTTCTGCACAGTGCTGTGAACATGACTGAGTTGGAGTTACACGCCGCTGCAGCAGTGCCACACAGAGCCACCGTTTAACTCTCAGCAGAGCCGTCACACTTTTTAATTAACCCCGAGTCACACGCGGCCTTTGAGTGGACGGCCGGACGCCGGTCAGCTTTGAGCAGACTCTATTGAGGGCGTGAAAGATTTTCTGATAGAAACACACATACACGCGGCCACGGGGGCGATTGAGTGATCAGCGGATGAGGTTTGACCAGGGAGGTAACTCAGTGATGGGGTTATTCTGGGTCAGCCGACTCCTACACTCACGCACGCTTCGTCTTATACCTTCTCAGTATGTGGGGTCACGCATGAGTTCTATATGTATCGCATACATCTATGTATTTCTATGTAATAATAATAGATCCCATATATTGTATATACAGTATGATGCAAAAGTCAGAAACCTGCTTTCATATTTGTCATTTCCAGTCAAAACAGCCATTACATACAAGCTATTCATTTTTCAGGAGGAGGAGCTCAGATATGACTAATCCGCTTACATAACGTCAAAGTGGGGTTTCCAACTCAAGTTCGACAAATGATTAAAAGCTACAGAGAAAATGTGACTCCAAATAACCACCTGGAAGACCTGGTAGACACCAAAACTGTCCCCATCAGATAAACAGCACTTAAAGCTTTCATCTTTGAGAGAGAGGAGAAAATCAAGCTGCTTCAGATCTGAAAACATCCACAGGTGTTTCTGTCCATCCTTCCACTGTGAGAAGACAACTCAGCGCTATGGGTCTGAAAGGATGTGTAGCTGTCAAGAAGCCCTCAATAGACACAGAAGAGGAACATCTGCACTAAAAAAACAAAACTAGACTTCTGACATGTGGAGTGAAGTTGTATGGACTGCTAAGTCAATATTTGAGAATTTTCAAATTCTTCAGAAGGCAGAATGTAGCACCGAGGCAAAGAAAGTCAGGCATGGTGGAGGATCAGCGTAGTGTTGGGGATGTAGAACAACATCTGGAGTTGGCGGTTTGTTTCTGATTGAAGGCATCATGAATGCTGATAAGTATAAACAAATTTTGATACATTATGAAACATTCTTCTGGAAAACGTTTGATGGAGAAGCACTTCTTTCTACAGCAAGACAATGACCCTAAGCACACGGCTGAGAACAACAAGATATACTTCCAAAAAAGCAGAAGCTACAGAACAATGGACTGACCACCCCAGAGTGAATGTGTTTGGATTACTTCAGAAAATGATAAACCAGCTTCTAAGACTGAACTTTGGAGGTATGTCTGCAGATTTCTTTGAGAAACTGAAAATGAGTCTCCTGAAAAGCATGGAAGCTGTAATAAAGGTAAAGAGTGACACACTGAACACTCAGACATGTGATATTAGATTTAAACTGTAAAATATGAATATGTTTTAACTTGGGAACGTGAGTAACATGGTTGCCTTACATTTCTGAGTATAATGAACTAATAATAATAAAATATAATAATAAATTAACAGAACGTGTAACTCAGATTATTGTTATGTTAAATTACTATTAGAAGTTCAGTGAACTCAAATTGTAAGGCTACTACTTTTTTAAACTTAAAGCATTACATTTGTCACAGTGTAGTTGTTGAGACTTCTGTGTTATTTTCTGTTTAATATGTGATTTATGCTTTTTTCCTGACACTGAAAATTCAATAACTTGTTCTTAATGGTGGTCTCTGATTTTGCTCAACACTGTACATCCCCTGGCCACTTTATCAGAAACCCTTGTAGCCCCACCCAGCGTCACATGGGGGGGTTGCATGATTCGCAGAGGTGGGTACAGTAGTCTAAATCAATACTCAAGTAAAAGTATTGATATTTGGGTTAAACAATGACACAAAAAAGTAAAAATACCTTCAAATAAAACAGCTTGAGTTAAAGCACAAAAAAATACTTAAGTACTGAGTAATGTATAGAACTGTAGTGGAGCTTCTTAGAACATTCACCATCTATCAGCATGGGAAATGAAGTTTGTGTGGCTCTATTTCTCCCTTTTTTGATTATCTTGCTCAAAAATAAAGTGCTAAAGCTCCAGAGTCAGAGACATGACTAATCACAAAGCAGTACAGATGTTGTCAACAACAAAACTGAATAAAATTAAACACCAAAAAGAATTAGCAACTAAATATGAACAGCTAAAATGTAACTGAGTATAAAGTAGATTCCTTTACTCACTAATATACCCATGTAGAAGTAACAGTATAACAATTTGAAAACGCTCAGCAGAGAACAAATCCGTCAGTGTTTTACTGAAGTACATGTACTTAAAACCCACCTCTACTGATTGGCTCATTTCATAGTGGTGGCCCACGCTGAGCAGAACAGTGAACAATATCTGGTCAGTGGTGGTCATATGGTGGTCCCCACCACGGATGAACAAGGTGATAAACTGTGCAGTAACAGATGAGCTACAGTCTGTAACTGTACACCTACACAGTGGGAGGTGTTTCTGATATAATGTCCTGTGAGTGCAGATGCTAGGTAGGTGGACATAATAAAGGAAACACTGAGTGTAGGTTGTGAAATAATGGCTTCTCCACCCAAAACAGAGCCAAATAGACACACACTTACACACACACACACACACACACACACACACACACACACACGCACGCACACACGCACACACACGCACACACAGGCTCTCGCGCGCTCGATCCCGCCCCCACTCTTCTGTTACTCATTCCTCCTGCTGCCTGTAGGTGTCGCTCAGAGCCCGAGTGGACCCCGAGCTCGTGCGCTCAGCTTTAGCGCGAAGTGAATGGATGAAACACGGAGACGGAGAGGAGCAAAAGGTGCAAATTACCCCCATCTCCCCCATCTCTCTCTCTCTCTCTCTCTCTCTCTCTCTCTCTCATATATTTGTATGTTATATATCATATGTTTCTTCCTCTATTTTTCTGTTTTCTTTCTGTCTCTCTCACACCATATTTTTCTCTGATTCTCTTGTTCACTATCCTGTTGTTTTTTTTTTTCTCTTTCACGTGCCATAGCTCTCTTTCACGTTTCATCTCTGTCCCTTATTCTCTCTCTCTCTCTCTCTCTCTCTCTCTCTCTCTCTCTCTTTCTCTCTCTCTCACACACACACACACACACACACACACACACATACACACATACACGTTTCTTCTTCCATATCACCATTTCTTTCTGTTTCTTTCTCCTTTCCTGACTCTCTCTCTCGCTCTCTCTTTCATCTCTATCATTGCTTTTCATTCGTTTCCTCGCTTCCTCTAATTTTCTGTATCTGTTCCCCATCTCTTTCTTTCTCTCTATCTCATTCTTTTTCACTCCTGTTTCTCCTTCCTCTGTTCTTCTCTCTCTCTCTCTCTCTCTCTCTCTCTCTCTCTCTCTCTCTCTCTCTCTCTCTCTCTCTCGCCCCGAAACGAATTGAGTTTCATCATCCACGACAAACCAAACACGCGCGAGAATATGCGAAAGGAAGAAAGAAGGAAGAAAGGAAGGAGGAACGAGAAATAAAAGAAGAAGTGAAAGAGTGAAGAAAGAATGAGAGAAAGAGTAAAAAGATGAAGCAGGGTTTTCCTTACGGAAAAGTCTACATAAAAAAAAAACACAAAGCCCCGCCCCTTTCCTGACTCACAGCGAGAGAGAGAGAGAGAGAGAGAGAGAGAGAGAGAGAGAGTAGAGCGTGTGTGCGTGCGCGCTTGTGTGTGTGTGAGAGAGAGGGAGGGATTTCTCGCGCGCCGCTTCTCTCTCACTTTGGCTCAGTCTCTCCACGGTGCGGACGCACGAAGCGGAGCTGCGCGCGACCCGAGTAAAGCGGGAGAACCGGAGTGCGTTTAGAGTGCGCCGGAGTGTATGAGAGAGAGCGAGAGAGAGACAGAGAGGATGCGCGGCGTGTGAGGCGCTCTCGCGGGGAGAAAGAAGCGCTCGAGCGGCTCCATCCGGAGGACCAGCAGGTGGAAGGAGATACGCATACGCACGCGCTTTCACGCGCACGGACATAGGGACGGACGGACGGACGCGCGCGCGGGGATAGAGGGGAGGACGAGCGGCTCGGACTCAGCTTGGAGGTACACAGACGCGCGCGCGTCACTCTCACTGGAAACATTTGTGTTTTCTAATTTGTAACAGTGTTTTTTCACAGTAGAAACAGATCAGATACTCTGTTACTGATGAATGTGGCTGTGCAAGTTTTGTGTGGGATCTGTTCTAGAACCAAAGTCTGATCTAGATAGTCTAGATAACATGGTGAGCTGGTTCGACGGCGCATGAGGAGATCTGCTCCTCCTGCACCTGTCCGAGGTGCACCTGTCCGAGCAGGTCTCCTCAAGCGTCCTCGAACCAGCTCACCAGACGTACTGGGGTTGCTCTACTTGTGGGGACCTCTTTTGACTTCTGCATTAGCGGGACTGAGTAATAATACACCCTCGAACCAGCTCACAAAATACACTGGTGTTGCTGTATTTCTGGGGACCTCTTTTGACTTCTGTTTTAGTGTGGCTTAGTAGTAGTACACCCTCTGAACAGCTCATAAAATATGCTCGTGTTGCTATATTTGTGGGGACTTCCCTTGACTTATGTATTGCTCTAGCTTAGTAATAATATACCCTCGAACCAGCTCACCAAACATGCTGGTGTTGCTGTACTTGTGGGGACCTCCTTTGATTTATGTATTACTGTGGCTGAGTAATAATACAGTCTCAGACCAGCTCACCAAACATGCTTGTGTTGCTGTACTTGTGAGGACCTCCTTTGACTTCTCTATTACTGTGGTTGAGTAGTAATGCACCCTCAAACCAGTTCACCAAACATGCTGGTGTTGCTGTACTTGTGGGGACCTGTCCTGACTTCTGTATTACTGTGGCTGAGGAATAATATACCCTCGAACCAGCTCACCAAACGTGCTGGTGTTGCTGTACTTGTGGGGACCTGTCCTGACTTCTGCATTACTATGGCTGAGAAATAATGCACCCTGGAACCAGCTCACCAAACATGCTGGTGTTGCTGTACATGTGGGGACCTCCATTAGTGTGGCTGAGAAGTACTACACTCTCGAACCAGCTCACAAAATACGTTGGTGTTGCTGTATTTCAGGGGACCTCCCTTGACTTCTGTATTAGTGTGGCTTGGTAGTACTACACCCTTGAACCAGCTCACCAAATATGTTAGTGCTGCTACGCTTGCAAGGACTTCGGTAGTACCATAAGCCTCCAAGCTTAGTAACCAAAGGCTTTCTGCTTGTGGTAAAGAAAGGTCCTCACTTTGGTAGCAAAACAAGCATGCATACACAGTAATGCTGCTGTTTGTTCGGATTTAAGCACCTGTTGCTGTGTGAGTGTGTGTGGAATGGGGACTGAGCTGCCGGGCAGTGTGTGTGCGGGTGTGTGTGTGTCGGGGAATCTGGTCGAGCCCGTTCCTTCTTTCGCAGCTCTGCTCATAGCTGGACTTGTTTTTCAGGTTTGCATGTTTCGGTGTAGGACTTACTTGACTTCTCAATTCATTAAATATTCATATCAACATTATTATTATTATTTTTCATGATTTTATTAAATATTAATAATATTGTTATTATTAGTAGTAGTAGTAGTATTAACAATCTCTTCACAAAAAGCTCTCAAGTCTTTGTTATGGCTTCTCTTCAACAGTTTCCTAACTTGCTCAGGACAAAAGCATATGCTAATTAAACAGACAAATATGCAAATATGCAAATGTAAGCGTGCCATCTCCTATTGCACCGCTCGTATCCCTCTGAATGCTTCCGTTTGGCTCTACATCAGCGCCTTATTCTCTGCTGCGGAGAGAGAGAGAGCAGGTCGTGAGCGGGGTATTTTTGTGTAACCATAGATAGATTGATGACAAAATTTAAATAAGTAGCTGGGGCACGGTGTCTCTAACGCAGCGGAGCGGCGAGCGAGGAGCTTCAGTGGCTTTAACGATGAATTAAAATGAGCAGCTCGCTCTTCTGCCTCTTTGCAGCTCTTTTCTGTGTCAGCTTCGGGGCATTCCGGGTTGAAGGGGTTAATAGGGGTTAAGGCGCAAACAAAAAAAGAGGAATAAGTCGTTTTGGCACATACAGATCAGCGCATTTCACTTTTACGGGAAGGTTAAAGTGGTACAAGAGTGAACTGGATGATGTGATGATGAAAACAGCTCAGAAACTGAGAGAAAAGGAGCTCCTCTCGCTTTTTTGACGATGGTGAAAAGGTGTGATGCGGTTCAAGAAGCCTGCTGTTTGCAAATCTAGCCTTCCTCCAGTGTCCAGTGGGTTATTGTCATTGATTAGTGCTCATAATGAGGCCTTAAAGTTAGATAAGGTCTGGCATTTTGTCGCTATCAGTTGCTGTTTCCAGTTTTTGTGCTAAGATTTTTTATTTATTTAATTAAACATATTCTTGGGATTATTTTGAACCTGGTCATTTGCAGTCAGATTGCATCCCAGCCCGTCTTATCGCTTATTATAGGCAAAACATTTCCCCATGTGTTTTGCGTTGATAACCTCTGCCTTCTTTCCTTTTTTTTTCCCTTTTTTTCCCCCTTTTTTCCATGGTGTCAAACATTTCTGGTGGCCCGCTGCATATTTACCCATTACCACCCATAGCATTGCATTACATCTAATGCCGAACTCTCAAGCGAGAACGTTGTGACTCATTTTATGGCTTCATTAATCTAAGAGCGAGTCTCACAGTAGGAGAGGCGTCTAGACTTGGTCTCCGCCAGTGTGTGTGTGTCCTGTGACTGGCCCCTGTGCTCTGAATGACTGGACGGACTAATCTGGCTCCACAAAGGCTGCTGAATGAAATAATTAAAGTAATCCTCTGTGCCTGGTGGGGGTGGTGGGTGGTGGTAGGGGGCTGGGCCCATTCTGAACGGGTCAGCGAGTGTGATGAGGCCAGTTTAGCCGAACAAAAGTCTGGGTGTGAGCGTTTGGCCTGGGCGGTCCCGTCCTGTCCGACCTGCTGCCGCTGGTTTGTTAGTTTGCGACTTTATTAGTTTATTAGTTTATTGGTTTATTAGTTTATCCCTTTATTTGATCCCTATTAGCTGTGCTAAAGGCAACCTGGGGTGCACATTAGCATAAAAACATGCATCACTGCCGTAATCTCAGAAGCTGAACGTTATAGTGGTGCGTAGGTTTTTAAAATTTTGCAAAAAATGGACTAGAATTTGTTACACATGGTTATATGTGGGCTTTTTCTACAGATTACACCATGCTGTATGAATAATGTTACAAAATATTGGATGAAAAAGAAGCTAAGAGATTGTTTGACTCATAAAAAGCAATTGTAGTCGCATGTAAAGACGAGGCAACAAAGACTGCTCCCTACTCGACTGAGCGGAAGTGAGCGGCATAATTAAATTAAACGATATTTTCAGTGATTCACGCTACATGAATAATGAATTCTGTCCGATGTGATTGTGGGGGGTGGTGGTGATGGTGGTAGTGGGCGGGGGGGACTGTGTGAGCCGCCAGAGCTTGGCTGGGACGTGGGCCGAACTGCCGGACTGTCATCTCGGGTCCTGTTTTTGAACATGCTTATGCAATAAATGTGCGAGATGAGTGAGGAGTGAAGGCCGTGTCACATCAGAGAGAGAAAGAGAGAGAGAGAGAGGCCTGTGTGTCGCTATTCACACACATTGCATAACCCATAGACACAATGGGACGGCGTTTGTAATGTAAAAAGCGTGTAATGCACTCTATAGGGCGGTGTGAGTGCCCGTAGGTGAGTGTGGCCGTGACTGCACCAACATTTAATGTTCTTTTCTGCTTTTTTTGGTTAATGTGCCTTACGTGCAGCAGTAATGTGAGTTATGCAATAACAAGGACAGCATAAAAGCATAAAAGGAGTTTTTTCCACTCTGCTCTTCTGTCTGGCACTGTCTCTGCAGTTATTTTGACCAACATTTGAGCAATTTGAGGTTTTAAAAATGAGGCCAAACTATGCAAACAGGCTCCACTGAGTGATAACAAAGCACACATTGTTTTTCAGAGGTCCCCAAAATGCTGTGCTGGAAGGAAACCTTGCAGAAAGGCAGTAAAAATGCACCTCCTTACTGTAAAATTTAGAAGAATATCTATTATCATTGTGCAAATTGACAAAGGTCAGTTTTTCACTGATTATTTTCTTCCAGTTAATCAGGACAGACCTAGTTCTTTATCTCTCAGAGTTTCGGTGCAGGTAAACGGCCTCTGACGCTGTGCTGTTACACATTAACCTGAGACAGGTGCGCTAACCCTGCTAACCTCACTAATGTAATCATCGTCCAGCTGCTGGACAGGCGCAGGCTCCAGCGGGCAATAAATGTCACTGCTTTTATTTAAGCCCTTTATTATTGCGCAGAGTGGCATCAGTGGGCCCGCAACACTCAAGGGGGAGGGGCGTGGACAGGCGTAACTGTAACAACGATCGTCGGTCACCGTGGTGCACCGTTGCCATGGCAAACTGGACACAAGCTGAGTCCTCGTCATCACCGTTGGTGCAAAAGTCATCAAGCCCTGTAAGCCGGTAAAGGAAAAAAAACAAAAAACATTTTTCACTTTAATGTAACATGTAAGTTGTACTAAATAAGGAATTATGAAATGCTTTCACAGTGCAATATTGCAATTATAATGCTACATATGAGATGCAGTATATTAATAAAAACAACACTGTGACGTTTGAAGGCCTCACACTGTTATTGGTTAGGCAGCTCATTTGCATACCGCCTCATATGGAAATCTGATATATGGCAATATATGGATTTCACATATTACATATATTAGCACACATGGATTCCCTTAAATCCAAAGCATATTTGTCACATTTGGATTGGCCGTTTTCACATATGGGACATATGTTTTAGCCATACATCAACATATACAAACAAATATATTGAACAATATATGATAGAAAAGTCATATATAAATGCATATAAACATCATTAAAACATAAAGTAAATGGAGGTATACAGGTAATGTGTGTATATATGTGTGTGTACATATATATATATATATATATATATATATATATATATATATATATATATATATATAGATGCATATATCTAGTGTTTGATACTCATATATATACAA